ATACATTGATTTATAGACCAATTAGCAAATGCAAACAGTATTTATTGTAATTTACAGGGCGTCCTGATTCGGGTAATCCCGATCTATGAATCTTTTGAGAAGCAATGGTATTCAGCCATCCTCCACGTTTTACCGAATTGTTAACAAAATGTGTGTTTTCTTAATGCATAACGAAACTCGTCGGTTATTCATACACTTAGTACAAAGTTTGCAGGTTAAAAAGTCTCGTCCTTTTACGCATTTAACGTCGTTTATTCATTTCCTTCATGGGCACTAGTGCAGTGTAATGTCAAGCTTGACCAGTGATGTCACCACAACGTCAGAAAACAATATTAGAGATATTGAACTGATTTGATATGGAGACGTTTGCTGAAGACGGATGTCTCTGAAAGGAGAACTGCAGGTATGACAACAATGAACGATTATTTTCCGGAACCTTTGGTACCCTTGGAAACGGTTTCTATGGTAAACAGACATGCCTCATCTGAAGATATATTGTCTGGTGTAAACAAAGATGATTTACATAATTAAGTTTGCCAAACACTTTGGGATCATTCAGTACCTATTGTGGAAATCCACATCTTCCACCCAGGAAGAGTTCGTATTTTCTGTATCGGAGTCCTCTCCTTCAAATTTAGAAGTGCATTGTTAAAAACATATTTCAAATTTTATATTTGGATTAACAACATACATTTATACTCAGCAAATCTTCTTACCAAATACTCATATTCCGTATGGTACAAATCTGGAAACAGTGACATTAATGATCTAAAACGCAATCGATCTTCATGGGTAGAAAGTTGTTCAGGTCACATAGCGAACGAACGCGATCGAAACTGGCGTTTGTTTTATAGTTCCAGTGATCGATGTATTGGTTATTTTATCGGGTCGGAAGATAACCTTGGCTAAGAAGCAGTCCACTTGTTTCGTGTTGGCCATGGAACCTTGAAACAATACTTTTTAAGAAAAGCTAAAAATATTTCTTGTCCTCGTATCTGCCTCTGTGATTCATTGTAACATAGTTGACAGAGTTCCAAATATCGAACTTCTGTAAATCCAATACAGATATGTCAAAGATAAATCTATAAACGCCCAGCGAAACCTCCTTAACGCATAGTTACTGACGCTTAATATTCTGGTTAAGGTAACCTGGGATGTTTCTCAGAAACCTTTTTGTCTCTGAAAATAGGTGCCAAAAAGTATTCATACTCACCCTTGTTCGCAAACATCTTGCTTGGTAACCAGTGACGATCCGGGTAGAGTTGGTCTCCAGCACCCCATTCTTGTTGTAAGAAGTGACTAACGACATCAGGGTGGTCAGGCTGCGTAGATCGATGCTCATGCTGTTGATCATTGGATTGTCTGGTCAAGACTCGATTATTTACAGACCGCCGCCATATAGCTGGACTATTGCTGAGTGCGGCGTTAAACAAAAAACCAAACAAAACTTATCCTTGAAAGGAGGTGCCTAAAAGTATTCATACTTATCCTTTCCGCAAACACCTTTCATTTCCGCATTTCAGTGCTCCATTCATAAACCTTTCACCACTTACGTTTTAGGCCCAGAATCTGTTTCGTCGGATAATGGAGACTGGGTATTTTCTGTCGTTGATGTATATTTTTAAGATGCTTAGTTAAGGGTACCGGCACGTTCGGCGAGGAGGGAAAAATAACACATGAGGAAAAAATATTTTTGTTTCAGTATTTTCTGACATATTTTTGGTTTTCACTTCCAAGAAGATAAAATAGTGGTCAAGCCATTGCTGTTATGTATATTATATCCAGACTACATCATCATCGACCGTAAGCTTCGTTTATGACGAACACGAATATAACTGAAGGATATAATGAGTGAGTGAGTGAGTGAGTTAAAATTTTACATCGCATCGGCAATATTGCAGCCATATAGCGAAGAAAACAAGGCAATCAATTTAAATAGCTGTCGACAAAGGACAGTAAAACCAACTAGACTATCACAGATATATATTTAAAACTCGTAATTAAATCTAAAATACTTTAACTATAGAGGACGATGCAATATAAAACAGGCTATAGATCGCCAACAACTGAAGGTAGATCACCATACCAGGGTCCATGGGGACTTACAATGCCTTTGCTACCTGCATGGACCTTAGTTGGATTTACACCATCCCTTCAGCCGCTGGCGATTGTGGTAAAAGTTTAGCCTAACAAATATACTACGTTTAAAAATCTGGTAAGCTTAAATTTAACTTTGAAAGTTTTGGGACTTACGTACTCTCTCAGGAAGGATATAATGAACTGGCTTTGCTTCGATCTACGTATTACTTGATGCATCTTGGTTTGTCTCCTTTCGAATAAGACCCGTGAAGATCCGGGCTAGAATAGGTCTACCACAAAAGGCGACTATGCTTGTCGTAAGAGGCGACTAACGGGATCGGGTGGTCAGGCTCGTTGACTTGGTTGACACATGTCATCGGTTCCCAATTGCACAGATCGATGCTCATGCTGTTGATCACTGGATTGTCTGGTCCAGACTCGATTATTTACAGACCGCCGCCATATAGCTGGAATATTGCTGAGTGCGGCGTAAAACTAAACTCACTCACTCACTCCTTTCGAATAACGTGGATTCACAGTGTGTGTTGACATATGTTTCATCCAACTGATAGGTACTCCTTGTTTTTGTAACGGGGCGGTGGGATAGTCCAGCTGTTAAATCGATCCCCGAAGACCCGGGTTCGAATCCCGACGTGTCTCCGCCGTGATATTGCTGGAATATTGCTCAAAATGGCGTAAAACCATATTCACTCATTTGCTCGGGTCTTGTTTTACCTGCTCTTAGCACCAAGGCGACGCTCCATCACCGCCTGATGCTAATGTTGGGAATCGGAAACCAAATCTACTATCGATTATCGGAGGACTTGTGGTGAACGATTATCGACTATAATCGAAATATATACATTTTTAATGTAATCACCAATTTTAAGGGTTTTTCCCAGTTTTTGTAATTAATGCTTTTTTATAACTAATACTGTCATGCAAGTAAGACACTGGAATTGTAATTAAACAGTAAAAGTGGTTAAAATTTTACAATGCGCATAGCTTTACGCTATTGAGCGCATGTTTGTTCGTGAATATTCATCAAATTAAATGGTTAGTATACTTAATTCAAGGGTGTTAAACAAAAACAACAAAACAAAATATTTTTTTACAATCGATAATCATTTTTAATCCTTCTTTCGATCGATTTTCAAGTTTTTTCGATCATCGGAACACCACTACCTGATGCATTACAGTTTGTTTTATTATCAATAAAACCATGTTAATACAACCTTAAGATGGTTTCAGCTTTTTATGAGTTACACATCAATTGGAAAATATTATTTGCTGAACAAACTTAGCAACTTCTAACGAATAATCATCCGCATAATCGAAACATTCTAAGAGTAGCATAAACTTGAAACATTATTATTCGGTTCGCACTGGATGTATGGTTTACTTTGTGTAACGTCAAGCTGTGTCGAAAATACTTTTGGGGTTGAGTGGCTTGGGTCGATCGATGGTCGTTGAGGCATGAACAAGTGCTAGATTTAACACTCGTTCAGCCATGGTTTGTGGGTCGGTCAAATCGCTGTGTTTGTGTGCTGGGCGATCTGGTGCCTCACTGTGGGTGTTGGTTCGAATCCCGGATGAGTCTCGACCCTTAATGTACTATTATTATCTGTCCTTTAGTCAGAAAGTGTATTCACAAATATAACATACGTTAACAAATTATAGCCAGGATATCTTATGCTGAACCATGTTTGCGAGTGGTCGGTGGCGTGCTTGTTAATGATTTCTTGATCAGACTCGATATATACACGGAATCGAAATCGGATCTTGGGCGTGATGTACGGGTGCTTCAACCACTAGACTACTGCACGCTGTCACTTGTGTTGCTATAAGTGAGTGAGTGAGTGAGTTAGTGAGTCGGGTTTTACGCAATATTCCAATGTACCCATGTGGGGAATCGAACCCGGGTCTTCCGCGTGACGAGCGAACGTTTTAACCACTAGGCTACCCCATCACCACTATGCTGTCATGAGTGAATGAGTTAGTGAGTTTAGTTTTACGCCGCACTCAGCAATATTCCAGCTATATTGGCGACGGTCTGTAAATAATCGAGTCTGGACCAGACAATCCAGTGATCAACAGCATGAGCATCGATCTACGCAATTAGGAACCGATGACATGTGTCACCCAACTATGTTGTTATGAAAGAATGGCAGTAGAACGTAAGGAATTCGTTTTTCACGTGTGTTTTTGTCACGGGTTCTGCTTTTAATTGAGACAGACAGACTCACAGAAAGATAAACATCGACTTAACTCACTAGATTTTAAAAAAAAATGAGACAACGTGTATGCATTGTGTCCACCACTTTGATGAAATGACTACGACGCACGTCTATTGATCACATTACTAAACCTAATGTGGATCTCATGGTGTTTGTTATAGATCTCCCAAGACAAATACGGTTTACGTAATAAAGGAAGAGCTCTGCAGCACCTTATCGATGCGGTAAAGTCGTGTTAATACACCGGAAACTATGTTTCAACATGTTACTAAATATAACACGTGTTCTGCTACACTCTGTGTACACGTGTTACAGAGAGGACACTTGAAACAGTTTCCTTGTCTCAATATAGGTTTTCATATTGCATAGGGTCGTCCAGGTGAACCTTTTGCGTGCATTTTTGTTTGTATAGCTAAAAACTTTCCGGGTTGAATTATGAAGTTGTATCAGCACTTATGAGTGAGTGAGTTTAGTTTTACGCCGCACTCAGCAATATTCCAGCTATATGGCGGCGGTCCGTAAATAATCGAGTCTTGACCAGACAATCCAGTGATCAGCAGCATGAGCATCGATCTGTGCAATATGGAACCGATGACATGTGTCAACCAAGTCAGCGAGCCTGACCACCCGATCCCGTTAGTCGCCTCTTATGACAAGTATGGGTTGCTGAAGATCAATTCTGACCCGGACCTTCAAGGGTCTCCACCAGTATCAACAGGAGCAGACTGCTGGTCTCAGAGAACGTTGTCGGAACTGACGTCCCGTCCTCACACTTAGGCACAGGCAGGAACGTCTGGCGTGGTGCAGACTTTAGCATATGACCAGCAGATGACCCATAAAGCTGAACCATTTGGTAGTGGGTTAGTGATGGCGTGAGGCTGCGTCTGTATGACTGCAAGATGGGGTGAGTGAGTGAGTGAGTTTGATGTACGGGTGCTTCAACCACTAGGCTACACCACGGTCCCACTTGTTATGTTGTCATGAGTGAGTGAGAGTTTAACGCCGCTTTTAGCAATATTCCAGCAATATCACGGCGGGGGACACCAGAAATGGGCTTCACTCATTGTACCCATGTGGGGAATCGAACCCGGGTCTTCCGCGTGACGAGCGAACGCTTTAACCACTAGGCTTCCAAACCGTCCCCTGCAAGATGGATCTCATTACAGTACTTTGGAAACACAGAGGTAAACGTCATCAAGTACTGGACCCCGCCGGCGTGCCTCATTTCCATAACCAGTCGTCCGATTATTCAAAGATAAGGGGCGGTGGGGTAGCCTAGTGGTTAAAGCGTTGGCTCGTCATGCCGAAGACCCGGTTTCGAATCCCCAAATGGGCATATTGTGTGAAGCCCATTTCTGGTGTCCCCCGCCGTGATATTGCTGGAATATTGCTAAAAGCGGCGTAAAACCATACTCACTCACTCAAAGATGATAACGCTAACCTCACCATGTGGAACCAGGCACTGATGTGATCGCCAGTAGTTGTTCATCTAATAACAACAATCATTATTTGAGACCTTTGTGACATCAAATTGGTTACGATGTCATGGTGACCATACATTACGGCATTGTTGATGTTCACGTATTTTAGTGTGTACTTCTCTCAGAGAGCAAGCAAAATTCAATGTCAGCTTTGTTTTTGTTTTCATTAATGAAAAATATGTCAGTTACTATTTTAATACGCGGGGTGTAGTTTTGAAAGTATATCCAACAACATGTAGTAATTTCGTACTCATATAAAACGTGCTTAGTGTTTAGTGCGTATGTGTACACATCCTGCCTGACTGTGTATTCGGTTCAAATGCAGTTTGTAATTTGTTTTGTGTGTTTACGCCGCACTCGTAAAACATCTAAAATGGCGGCGGTCTGTAAATAATCGAGTCTGGACCAGACAATCCAGTGATCAACAGCATGAACATCAATCTACGCAATTGGTATACGATGTCAACCAAGTCAGCGAGCCTGACCACCCGATCCCATTAGTCGCCTCTTACGACAAACATGGTTTTCTGAAGATCGATTCTAACCCGGACCTTCACGAGTGGAAGCAGTCTGTAAACATGAAGAATAGTAATGGACAATTCATGACAAGCTGTTGGGTATGAAACGAGAATCAACCAACAACGAAGGAATTAACAGACCGGGTTGATTTCTTCGTCTTTAACTATGTTTAGGTCGAAAGTCAACGCCAAATGCTGCATCAGTAACTGAAAAGGAGATTCATTTTAGATATTTCGAAGAAACATAACTTTGAAACGTTCTTAACCAAGGGTTCTCAAATGCTTTGTTTAGAATAGATTCCATATATTGATTACACCCATCCCATGTGATGGTTAGTGACGCTGAAATCAGTGATTTATATTGAACAACCACTCCTGTATTGAACGTTTCAACCTCCTCCTTACCATAATACAATCACAGTGATGTGTCGTGGTTGCATTTCACTGGATGATTGATTACAGGGTAATTGTAGACTTCTCATTGTGCTATGGACTTGGAGGCATTCGGATGTGACGGTGCCATCACCTCAGAGTGAAGTACATTCGCCGAAATGAAGGAAAACCTCGTATGTCTGGTTTTAACCTTCTCTTCCTGGCTCTGTGTCACAGGTATGTACACATCTAGAATGTTCTTATTTTCACTTTTAACCAGTTGGTTGACATTTTTGTTGTTTAATGCCGCAGCAGTTTTTAGCTATATGGCGGCGGTTTGTAATTAATCGAGTTTGGAAAAAATGATCCAGTCATCAACAGCGTAAGCATCATCTACGTAATTGGAATACAATGACATGTGTCAACCAAGTCAGCGAGCCTGACCACCCGATCCCGTTAGTCGCCTCTTACAACAAGCATGGGTTACTGAAAATCAAATCTAACCCGGATTTTCGTGGATACATTAAAAATGAAACCGGTTTCTGTTTGAAACTTATTTCAAATACAGTCGACGCCTCGTCCGCCTGTCTCTTGCACTGATATTTAACCAATGTGTACATAGTCTCATAAGGAGGTGGACTTCGTTTCACGAAAGCAACTCAAAATTCGTTAAAGAAAGTTGTCAGACATATAAAACAGATCCTGAAGTGGTGCCTTTTGCACTGATTTTATATGTTTTCCTGTTTTCATGGTCACACGTTAGACTTTGTTGAAACGAAGGTTTGTGTCGTATCCGGTACAGGGACCCGTTTCACAAAGCGATTGTAGTGCTAAGGTGGTCTTAACTCCCATACTTTAACATAGACTTACGACAGTCGTAGCGCTAAGGTGGTCTTAACTCCCATACTTTAACGTAGACTTACGACAGTCGTAGCGCTAAGGTGGTCTTAACTCCCATACTTTAACATAGACTTACGACAGTCGTAGCGCTAAGGTGGTCTTAACTCCCATACTTTAACGTAGACTTACGACAGTCGTAGCGCTAAGGTGGTCTTAACTCCCATACTTTAACATAGACTTACGACAGTCGTAGCGCTAAGGTGGTCTTAACTCCCATACTTTAACAACTAGACTTACGACAGTCGTAGCGCTAAGGTGGTCTTAACTCCCATACTTTAACGTAGACTTACGACAGTCGTAGTGCTAAGGTGGTCTTAACTCCCATACTTTAACGTAGACTTACGACAGTCGTAGTGCTAAGGTGGTCTTAACTCCCATACTTTAACATAGACTTACGACAGTCGTAGTGCTAAGGTGGTCTTAACTCCCATACTTTAACGTAGACTTACGACAGTCGTAGCGCTAAGGTGGTCTTAACTCCCATACTTTAACGTAGACTTACGACAGTCGTAGTGCTAAGGTGGTCTTAACTCCCATACTTTAACGTAGACTTACGACAGTCATAAGGCTACGATAGCTTTGTGAAACGGGCCGCAGAACTATAAGAACCCATTCAAAATTTCATTTCCAAGTTTGGAACATGTTTTAATCAGGTGCTTCAGTGATGCCTTTTGCCGTTTTAGGAATTTTTGAGAATGTATATTTTACATGGCAACCAGTTTGACTTTGGTCGTGTTCGTTATGGAGTGTTTGTCCGGTCTATATCTATAAAACAAATAGGTTTTCGTCCTAGCAAGTGTTCACACGCAAAGATCTGGTTGTCAGCTGGCGCCTTTTCCTATTTAGAGGATTTTAAGTTTTATGTATTATTCCGTTTCCATGGCAACTGGTTTAACTTTGGTGGTGTTCGTAACGGTGTGTTTGTCCGGTCTATATCTATAAAACAAGTACTAGGTATTCTTCCTTGAAACTGTGCACACGCAAAGATCTGTTCGTCAGCTGGTGCCTTTTACTTTTTAGAGAATTTTACAGTTTTATTTATTTTCCCCTTTCCATGGCAACAAGTGTGACTTTGACTCTGCTGCTAGCAGTATGTTTGTACAGATCACACCTCGAAAAGTAATAAGTATTCTTAATGACACTTTGCACTCACAAAACTAGGCTCTCAACTGGCGCATTTCACTAATTAGGTTTTTATTTTTTTTATTTGTTCTGTTTCTATGGCAACTATATTTATTTCAACTCATTTTGGTGTGTACCTGACATAGAACCACTAATTCCAATACCATGGTATTGTGTTGATTTCTCAGTAATTATTCTTGTATTTGGAAAAAGTAGATTGAAATTCGGTCATCCATTTAGAATTTAAAGTAACAGTCAGATGATCAGTTATTTCGAATTTGTTCGGGTTCGGGCATTTGTCATGTTCTGATGACTCTTGGTATTCTCGAAGGTGTCCTGACGGAATCTGACCACATCTATGACTAATGCGTCAACTACTTTGACTAATGCATCAACTACTTTATAGAACGGTATATTTGTTATAAAGTACATGGAATAAACGTCATGTGTTGGCCAATTTCCGGGTGTTATTGAGTATTTGAAGCACGGGAATTCATTTGGAACCGACGGCGTCAGCCGGAGGTTTCAAATGAAATATTCCCGTGCTTCATATACTTAATAAAACACGGAAATTGGCCAACACATGATGTTTATCGACATTGTAAACACAAAAGTAAACCAAAAGGTTCACACACGTTTTTTGCGTCTGCACTCATTGACGTCGAGTACGGGTACAGAAGTGAAAGTGGCTGTCTGGAACTTGTAGCATTTGGAACTGCTCATTTGTGACGTCATTCGGACTTTACGTCACAATATGATTTGAATGACGTCATCACAGCTGACGACTTAACAATACAATGGTGTGAGCGATGTTTGTATGTATTAATACACAGCGAATTTCCGGAAATCGAATACCATTTTATCATGTTTTTCAACCAATCAGATTAAAGAACACAGTGACTGTTGGTTTACAATAACGTATACATGTATGGTACTTTTCAAAAGAAGGCGTATGAGGGTAAGTTGGAACTTTAAATATCTTTTACTTTACAGTCAATTTCAGAATGTTCAAGTGTGTCTCAATGTGAGAATAACAAAATGTTAATTGTGTTTTTATAACACTTGGTTACAGTGTTTAGAAATAAGAAGGAACTTGTTAATTTACATATACATATGCATATATTGTATAAGCTTTATTTCATGTGTGACGTGACCCGTGAAGATGGGGTTTGAATTGATCTTCAGTAACCCATACTTGCCGTAAGAGGCGACTAGCGGGATCGGGTGGTCAGGCTCGCTGACTTGGTTGACACTTGTCATCTTATCCCAGTTGTGTAGATCGATGCCCATGCTGTTAATCACGGGATTGTCTGGTCCAGACACGATTATTTACAGACCGCCGACGTTTATAGCTGGAATATGGCTGAGTGCGACGTTTAACAACAAACAAACCAAGTACAAACATTGAAAGTAGACCACTATAGTCATATGATTGTCATATTCCGCATTCAAATGATATAAAAGACCTTCAAATCTCTCCAAATAAAGCATTATAGTGAAAACGATAGGCATGCAAATATCACGACCTACACGGTGACCTTGACCTACAGCCTACGCCAGCAACTGAATGTCCACTGTGACCTGACATACACGTTCTCAACTGCGTGCACAAGACGTAAAATATCTCAAAAGAAATGATGCTCTGATGAAATTGACTAACTTACTTGACAAACTTTCACTTTCACCATTCGTTCGCCATTTCGCCGAGGTCGTTCGCCAATTCTTTCTCCGCCCCCAATGTCCTTGTATATAGTTATTCAACCTTTCAGTTAGTCTGTCTCTAATTAAATGGTAAACATGTTTTTACATGCCATGATATTGACACGACATTGTTACTTTTGTTCCATATAACGATAATGTACGCATGACAATCCTCTTTGATGTGTTGTCTGGCTGTGTTTGTTTGTCTATAGACAAACAGGCCGAAATATTGTATCATGCGTTTCAACACTTGATCAAGGACGCTGCAGTGTAAAATGGAAATGCTCTGCCCAACTTCCATATTTGTTTTCCATTACATTTGGATTATATCGATATTTTCTTCATTTGGGGATGAATAGCATCCTAAAAAAAAGATATGTAATTAATCAAATACAAAATTGTGTTTACGTGGGTAGTTATACTGTTTAAAATAACCCCTAAAAAGCAAGTTAATAGGGCTGCTGTCTCGAGTGAAGTTTGAAATTGATTTTTCTGAGGGATACAGAGTCGACCATGAACTCATCCATGTTTAATGTCGTCATGTCTTGTGAACACGCGTGTAATTAAGAAATACAGTTCGTTATACCACCATGTATAGTGTAATAAAGCACACTTTCGCCGTGAACTATTATAACGTTAAAGCACGAGGACACTTTAATAACGGTTTAATAGTTCACGGCGAAAGTGTGCTTTATTACACTATACATGGTGGTAGAGCGAACTGTATTTCTTTCCTAAGATGCCAAATTTAATACTTTCTAAGGATAATTACGATTAATCTAAGGCAGAAATCAAACCACGGCGTCGGTGACCTAAATTAAGAATCCAGGGCTAACCGACGCGCTGTTCTATTCACGCGTCTGACATTGTGACGTAATGCAAAAGTGTTCGATTACGAGGGGGCAGACTAGAATGGCGAAGTGACGCCAATACATTGTGACGTAATGCAAAAAGTGCACATTATCGTCTGATAAAGTACTTTCGGCACCTTTGATCTTTCACCGAAGCATCTTAGAATCTTTATTAGGAATTGGGGCGGCGGGGTGGTTAAAGCTTTCGCTTGTCATGTCAAAGACCGGGTTCGATTCCCAACATTGAGTACAATGCATGAAGACCTTTTCTGGTGTCCCCCGCCATGATGTTGCTGGAATAAGCTTAAATAATGTCACATTGTTAAACCACTAACTCACTGTAGTAGCATTACAAAATGATGACATCATGCACTTTTGACATGTAAATGTAGCAAAATCTTTCAAGAGCCCCTCCCGTGAAGGTCCGGCTTAGAATTGGTCTTCAGTAACCCATGCTTGTCGTAAGAGGTGACTAAGGGAATCGGGTGGTCAAGCTCACTGACTTATAGTTGGCTCATGTCATCTAATCCCAATTGCGTAGATCGATGCTCATGCTGTTGATCACTGGATTGTCTGGTCCAGACTCGATGATTTACAGACTGCCGCCATATAGGGGAATATTGCTGTGTGAGGCGCTTAACAACAAACAAAGAAAAATTAAGA